GTTGCTCTGAGGGCCTCACTGATTTTGATAAAACATTGCTACAAGAGGAGATCTCACACATAATTAATTAATGATTCATTTTGTTTATTCGGCCCTTTTGTCAACTTAAACTTGTCACACCTGCCATAAATCCCCTCCAGTGCTAAACAAACTCTTTAATTAAATCTATTGTGCCATGAGAGCAATGTTTCAGATTACAGATGATGAAAGTTTGGCCCACCCTTGTTTAAAACACCCTTTGGGTCACAGCTTCTCTGGGCAACCTGTGCCAGGGCCTCCCCACACTCACAGGGAAGAATTTCTTTCCAATATCCCATCTATCCCTGCAAAAGCAAATTCTGAGATGGGAGACAGAACACTGCTTCCAAGCAAAGCAGTTTTCAGGGTAAGATATATTTTGTTAAAAAGTTATTGACAAAATAAGAATATCAGTAGTGAGTGGTATGAGACCTCCCTCCAAATATGCAGAACATTGTACATGTGTGGGTTTAGCTGCCACCAAAAGCAGCACAGATGTAAAATAGACAAAAAGGAAAGGGAAAAAGAGCAAAAATCTGTTCCCAGTAAACAGGTTCACCCCTTGCACAGGGTGCAAACTGCTCTGAGCAAACACCTTGCCCAACACCCCTCAATTAATCATTAAAAACAAACCTAACGGGTCCCATTTCAGATGGGGAAATTAAAACTGTGCAGAAGGGGAACTCAGAGGTTCAGGTGTAGGAGTCAGCCAAAGGATTCCCCTGGACACAATTCCACACTGTAGAGCGAGCGAAAATCTCAACTGCTCTGTTGCTTTTCAGGACCAGTCCATTCCTCTGCAAGAGAGCCCTCCCATGAACTGTTGGCAGAAAAAGCTGGAGAGAAAATGCCATTACAAAGGAGCTGAGCAGACAGAAGACAGTGTAAGGAATCCTTCTTCTCCTGATGTTCTCCACCTCTAGGGAGCTGAGGTGGCCATCAGTTGCTCTGCACTGGCAGCACTCACATTGCCAAGGGAAATAGGATCAGATCCTATTTCTGGAGGAAAATCCAATGAAGGGAAAGCCAGGTAACATGAGGGATTTGCTTCCTGCCCATCTCCAGATCAATAGGGAGGCCAACAGAGGCACTGTCACCCAGCCCAGCTGCCCTCAGTTCACCTGCTCAAAATATTATTTACAGGGGCTCTTCTTCTGGGCTGTGATGAAATTGATAATCCTGCACTTCCAGCTTAGGCCAAGAAAATATTCTGCTGGCCTTTCCCAACCCTACAAGCACCTGATTTCATTGCTGGAAACCTCAGAGCACACCTCCTCCTGCCATCCACAGCAAAGCTTCCAGCCCCACATCTGCACACAATTATTTTCTTCTGAGATGCTTCATTGCTCTGCAAGTCTTTTCTCCCTGGACAGACACTCAGGATCTCCCAGGACACAGAAGATGCTCATTTTTCCTTTTTATTACCCTGGCAAACACTTCAGAGGGAAAAAAGAAAAAAAGGAAAAAAAAAGGAAAGGATCTGCTTCCTTCTAACTTGCCTGCTGAAAAAACAAATCATCTCTGTGGTACCCACAATCCCTTACAGTAGAAAACAAAATGTGCACAAGAGTATATACAAGGGATGTATGTCACACTGTATTAAAAAATAAAAAAAAAAAAAATTAAAAATCTGGAATTAGTTGCTTTGGAGGTGAAGAAAGCCATGAGGGAATAGCAGGGGGCTGAATTTCTGTCTGCCACGTACGCCAGCACAGTAAAAAATTGTTGTCAGCACTGGAAGACTGCCCATCATGTGAGTGGGTTCAGCAGACGACGAGCTGCAGGACATGGGCACAAATCCATCTGGCCTGGAGAGGGAAAATGCCAGGGAGCAGCACTCGGCATCCATGAACACACCGCTCCCTCGCAACGGCACAAAACACACTAAGAACGCCCGGAATGTTGCGTGGGGCACTTGGCCTCCTTCCTCCCCATTCCCACGGTTCTCAATCCCCGGGCAGTCCCAGACAACGCAGCCGGGGATGCTCCGGGATGCACCATCGCCCTCCTCACAGCTGCTGCCAGCAGCATCCAGCGGTGCTGGCTCCAGCTGCCCCCTCCATGCAGCTCCACCTTTCCCTTGTGCCCCGGGCTAAGGAAGCGACCCGCAGGAGAAGGGTGCGCGGTTCAGGGGGAAAGCGCATCGTGCCCGGCAGGGCTGCCGAGAGAGCCTGTCTGGGCACCCGCGGAGCCCCACGGCCCCGTGCG